GGGGAGAGGCAGGTTTGGAAGATCAAATGAAGCCAGAAATCCATGTCAGATCTGTGGCCTGAGTAATCACTCTGCTGCGTGGTGCTATAATAGGTTTGATGAAAAATTCATGGGAAAAAGGCCTAGTGATCAGACCTTCAACCCTCATCCATCTGCCTACATTGTTAATCCAACCTCTGTTGATGATCAAGCCTGGTATGCTGACTCTGGAGCCAGTCACCATGTTACTACTGAGAAAGAAAATGTTGCTGATGCAAAAGAATATGGAGGTAAAGAAAAAATGGTTGTGGGTAATGGTACTACTTTGCAAATCTCTCATATTGGCTCAAAGATGTTTGATATTGAAACTGGGAAAATACTGATTTTAAAAAAACTCCTGCATGTGCCTAAAATAAAGAAAAATCTTATAAGTGTTTCCAAATTAACCTCTGATAACAATGTCTCAGTTGAGTTTTATCCTAATGATTGTGTTGTGAAGGATCTATCAACCAGGAAAGCTCTGGTGCAGGGGAAACTTAAAGGAGGACTATATCAGCTGAACCTTCCTGACTATGGCACAAGAGTTCCAAAAACAGAGTCCACCAATCATCAGTCAAACAAATCCCAGTTCATTCTCAACACAAGTCTACCTGAGTTTGCCAAACCCACCAGAGAAAATGTCTTAGAGTCACAGATTGAAATCTGGCACAGAAGATTAGGGCATCCACCTATACCTGTGTTACTTCGTTTTCTGAAATCTTCTAATAATTTTAAACCTATCAGTAATGAAAAAATTCCGTTCTGTGAAGCGTGTCAATTAGGAAAGTCGCGTGCCTTACCATTCAAAATATCATCATCTCAAGCTAAAATGCCACTTGATCTGATACATACAGATGTTTGGGGACCATCCCCCATTAATTCTACCTCAGGTTTTAAATACTATGTTCTATTTGTCGACGATTGTACTAGGTATACCTGGATTTACCCCTTAAAGCATAAATCAGAAGTCCTTCATTATTTTACACAGTTTAAGACACTTGTTCAGAATCAATTTGAAAGAAAAATCAAAGTCATTCAATCTGACATGGGGGGAGAGTATAGAAGTCTAGGCAAAATAGCTGCTGAATCTGGGATTGAACTAAGACAATCTTGCCCACATACATCTGCACAAAATGGTAGGGCCGAGAGAAAACATAGACATGTTACTGAGACTGGGCTAACCCTCCTATCCCAAGCACATATGCCTCTTTATTATTGGTGGGAAGCCTTCCTAACTGCCACTCATCTGATAAATAGGATGCCTAGTCCTACTCTCCAGCATAAATCACCATATGAGCTTCTTTTTAAACACAATCCTGATGACCACCTACTCAGAGTCTCTGGCTGTGCCTGTTATCCATGTTTAAGACCATACCAAAAGCATAAATTTGATTTCCATTCACAGAGATGTGTTTACTTAGGACCTAGTACATCTCACAAAGGTTTCAAGTGTTTAAACTCCAGTGGTAGAATCTACATTTCAAGGCATGTTATTTTTGATGAAAAATCGTTTCCATTCCAAAAGAATTTCCTTAACAAAATATCTCAAAAGACATACCCTTCCACTAGTCAGTACCATTTACCTTTTGAACTGAATCCTCACAACTTCCAAGGATCTACTGATATAGTACCCCTTACAGAAGAACCAGCACTAGAGTCCCCTGCTGAAAATGGGAGTGAAGGAATAAGGATAACTGATGACAGTACTGATATTGAACAAATGGAAGAAGCTGAGCCAAGTAACATGCAAGCTGATGAGCAGCCTGAACCCTCAGAACTGGGAAGAGAACTGAGAAATGAGCCTGAGATGTCAGAAAGTGAACTGATAACAGAACATCCTATGGTGACTAGATCTAAGTCAGGAATTTTTAAACCAAAAATCTATGCTGATGTTGTGACAAGCACAAACGATGAGATAGAACCTGTGAGTGTAAATGAGGCCCTGAAGAGTGAAAAGTGGTGTAAAGCAATGAAGGAAGAATTTGAAGCTTTGATCAGAAATAACACCTGGGTGCTGGTACCTGCAGATCCAAAAATGAAAGTGATAGGTTGTAAATGGATTTATAAGTTGAAGCATGACACTGATGGAAGAATTCAAAGATATAAAGCGAGGCTAGTGGCAAAAGGATTCCTACAAACATCAGGTATTGACTACTATGAGACTTTTAGTCCAGTTGCTAAGGCACCTACCCTGAAAATCATTCTCACATTAGCTATTTCAAAAGGCTGGGAAGTGAGGCAAGTTGATATAAACAATGCTTTTCTTAATGGAAAATTAGAAGAGACGGTGTTTATGGAACAACCTCAAGGGTTTATTAATCAAGATAAACCACACTTCATATGCAAACTCAACAAAGCTATCTACGGGCTCAAACAAGCCCCAAGAGCCTGGCAGGATACCTTGAAAGACACTCTGCTGAAATGGGATCTAATGCAGTCAAAAGCTGATAATTCAGTGTATTATCAAGTAACTCAAGAATCTATGATATACCTACTAATTTACGTTGATGATATCATAATTACGGGGAGCTGTGGGACAAGAATTCAAAATCTAATCGAAAGGCTAAATACCACTTTTGCCTTGAAGGATATTGGCAGCCTGAAGAAGTTCCTAGGGATTGAGTTTATCAGAGATGAAATCGGGTTACA